AAAAAAAAAAAAAAAAAAAAACACACACACAAAACAGCTTCTTTTCTCAGTTCTGCTTTTGCCTGTCCTTCTGTTACCTGTCACTTCTTAGCTTATCAGTCTGCTCTGTCCGACCTCCAACTCTCTGCTTTGGGTCTACTGTCAGCTGAAGAACTAATGTACACTTTCAGAAGGGCCCTGGGGTTGAGCTAGGCTACACCTGCCAATTCCTCAGACACCTGTACTGCAGGATGTGGGTTTTCAGCTAATGCCCAAGACCATAATCCCAATGTCAGTTGATGGCAAGATCACATCTAGAATACCTTTTTAGTGCAGAGCACCAACTATGGTGCCTGTAGCAGTGAAGCCAGCGGTGTAAAGTCATAAGGTCACAAATTAGCATAAATGGATACGCTGGGAATGTTTAACCTGTTAAAGTAGAACAGAGGTCTTGGGGGTGGCGAGGTTGGCAGGCAGAGGTACCATCAGAAAAGCTCAAGTGTTACGACAGGAGAAGGCTCAACTCACACTTGTTACAGAAAAGCAAGTTCTGCGGAAAGACAAATGTCCAGTAGTAAAGGAGGCCACCTCTCTCTCAGCAGCAAGCTCTCTCACATAGGAAGTACTTAAATTGAGACAGGAACCTCATTTTTCTGGGATAGTGTTGAAAGAATTTCTACATTGGTTAAACTATTTTCTACCGATTCTTACAAATAAGACAATATAACAGAAATTTATTTACAATTATCTGTAATATGACTCATTTTGTCACAAAAACTGGAAAGAGAAAGAAAATGAAGGCAGAGAATATAACTCATTGGTAGACTGCTCGCCTAGCATGTTTGAGGCCCTGGGTCCAGATGCCAGGACGGCACTAAAAGAGAAGGCAAAAGCAAATGAATATTACAAGAGCAGCACAGACTAGCAGAGCAGTAAACCACACCAATGGGATGCGCAGAACCAAAACGACTTACCTCTTGAACAGAACACGGCAAAACCACACGACTAAAAAGAAAAAGAAAAGAATATACATTACATACTGATATGGCTTTAAAACACAAATCTCTAGACTCAATGTAACCTCAGTAATTTCTTTTCTTTTCTTTTCGAGATGGGCTTTCTCTATGTATCCCTGCTGTCCTAGAACTTACTCTGAAACCTAGACTGGCCTCAAATGCAGAGATCCACCTGCCTCTGCCTCCTCAGTGATAGGATTAAAGGCGTTTGCCACCACTGCCTGGCTTGGAACTTTAAATTTAGTGACACAGTGGACAAGAATGCCATTTATGAGAGAGGGTGTTTGCAAGCCTAGGACCCTAAGGGTCTCAACTACAAGTCTAAGACTGCCATTGTTGAACTTGGAGGGCTACCCGCTTCACTGCCACAGCATCTGAGAAACAGGGTGAGCAAGCATGAGCAAGGTCCATCATCTGCAGACTCTCTGGTCAGGCCACTCTCACTCACCACACGCATGCTATCTCTGTTACACATGTACATTTTTAAAGGTTTATTTTTATGTGTATGAGAGAGCACCCACAAAAACCAGCAGATGGCACTGCAGGTACAGGAGGTCAGAAGCCACTCAACAGGGGTCTTCTATGCATATTTTATTTTTGATATTTCTCTCAGAATACAAACATGCCTTGAAGTCCACAAATGACTGTTTCCAGAAAAGTCCCTCCATAACCTAATTACTCAAGTTCACTGAGACAAAAGTGAAGGGCTTTAGAACAAGCAGAAACGCCTGTGAAGGAGACAGCCTCACACCTTACAAATCCCATACCCCTCCCAAGGCAGGGCCAGTGGAAGGTGGATCTGTGTTTGATACTGTCCTATTTGGGCTAGTGGACATCACAAAGGTTATCTTTAGAGTTCCATTTACTATAACGCAGTACAAGACAACAACTCAAAGTCTACAACTACGTTGTGTTTTATCAGAACCTCAGTTTTTACCTTCAGATTTTTGACAAGGAAATCCCTTATTTCTACAAAACAGGTTTACTGTTATTTCCTCCCTTAGTACAGGTCACTGTCACCCTGTGTAACAGTGATCTAAAAACCATGGAGACCCAACACTCAGAAAAGTCCCAAACTTCTATTTCTCATGGGAAACAAACATGCTGTTAAGTCCCTCCATAAACCTTCTGCCCTACAGTGCACAATAACTTGCTGCCTCATTCCACAGGACATAAACTAGAGAAAGAGAGGTTGAGATACCTTTTTCAGGGCCTGTAACATAGGATCAAGAATTTATTAAGTTCATTAATGAAGCGATAGAAGTGCTGGAGGATTTTCCCCAGAGTGACATAGCCATGGCTGACCTCAAAAGACCGTCTGTAGGTGGCTGGGAACATGAAGAGTAAGGCAAAGAAGTCTTCTGAGGAGCTTTTCAAGAATTATTACTATTAATATTAAAGGACTGAACAAAGATGTAAGACTATAGAAAGGAAGAGATGGAAGAAAGGAAGTCTTCACCAGTCTTACGAAACCAAAGAGTCACAGCTGGGTAATTTTAACTTACTAGAAGAAGATGCCCATTTATGTTTAACAACACTCTCAGAGAAATCTCTCTCATGAAACACAAGTGGCTATGACATTCAGAATGCTAAATCAAATCCACAAACTTCTCTAAAGATCCTCATCCATCAAACAGAACCAGCAACAAACACTTTAAAATCAAGACTTTACACTAATGGCAACTTCGTCTACTTCATTACCAACATCTTCATACAGGAACCACCTACTCATTGTCTGTGTTCAAAAACCAAGTGAGTGGAGTTGACTACAGAAAATTCATTTCATTTAATGGCACTGAGTACTTACACTGTGCTTAACACAGAACACATTTACAGGAAACAGTCTTTATCTTAAAAGCCTAGATGGAGGGCTGAAGAGATGGCTCAGTGGTTAAGAGCATTGCCTGCTCTTCCAAAGGTCCTGAGTTCAATTCCCAGCAACCACATGGTGGCTCACAACCATCTGTAATGAGGTCTGGTGCCCTCTTCTGGCCTGCAGATATACACACAGACAGAATATTGTATACATAATAAATAAATAAATAAATGCCTAGATGGAGAAAAAAAAAACAACTAGGGGAGACCACCATGAAGACTAAGCATCAAAAACTTTAACATATGATGCTTTCAGAAAAATAATCAGATGTTGGATAAATATCATCATTTATTAACTCAGTGCATTTAAATGTTCACAAAGTAAAGGTCTGCAAAAGACAGGGCTGGAGAATGGCTCAGAGGTATTGCTCTTGCAGAGGATCTGAGTTCATTTCCCAGCATCTACATTAGACAACTCGCAACCACCTCTAGGTCCAGTTCCAACTGAAGCCAATGTATCCAGCTCCACAGGCATCCATACTCAGTTGTGCGTCTACAACTGACACACACTGTCATGTTTGTCTCATAGTATCCTTTCTTAATATCTGCCACTTGAATAATAAATGAGCTGATGCTTGCAAGAGACATTATTAAAATCACTTGGAAGAAAGTTTTCATACAAGCTCAAAGTTCAGTACTATGAATATGCTTTAAATGCAAATCTTTGTTCCACGCAGAATGTAAAAGTAAGCCTTTTTCAGGTTCCCTGTCACTAACAAAAAGTAGTGATGGTTCAGCAGGCAAATGCACTTAACTCCATACGACCTGAGTTCCAGCCACAGGACCCTAATGGGGGCAGAGAACTGACTCCTTCAAGTTGTCCTCTGACCTTCGGAAGCCTGCTGTGGCTCCTGCCTGTTCACACGTACGCAGGCGCAAATGTAATCTGTCATCAACTCATGAGCAAATGTTTGCTGAGGGGCTGGAGAAATGGCTCAGTGGCCTTGCTGCTCTTTCAGAGGACCTGAGTTCGGTTTCCAGCACCCACATGGTGGCTCATTACTCCCCTCCATGCCCTCTTCTTCCCTTCAAGAGCACTGCACGATGTGGTGCACATGCACACATGCAGGCCAACATTCATGCACATAAAGATGAATCTTAAAAAAAAAAAACAACCACCAAATGTTTGCTAACCATCTTAAAGACTTTCTAAGAGCTAGGTATCAGAGTGAGTATAGTGTGCACCATAGAGAGAACACGAAGACAAACAACATAAACTGCCCGAGGTGGTGAGCTACTAATTTGAGGAAAAAGCAGAAAACAAAACAGACTGGCCCTGAGTTAAGCCTATATGCAGAGCAACAAAAGAATAATACGGGGATCTTGTGATGCTGGGATGGGCAAGAGGAAATGTTGATGAGCAGAAAACAGAATCTGGGCTGTGTTAAGTAGAGGCACTGTGTTACTGATTTTTTTGTTTGTTTACACAAGTTGACATTAATACAGATAAGCTGCCTACACAGCTAAATTAGGGCCTTTTTAAAAAAAGAATCTGAAATGAAAGTGGTGGGGCGGGGAGAAGAGCAACAACAAAATGGGTCATATTGAAATCCCTAATTGCACAAGGAACACTGATTCAGGTGACAGCTGAACATTCCCTGTCACCAGTTTCCTGTAACGTTCACGGCTCTAAGAAGGGGGAAGCTACAACTTTTCAACAAAATCATGGGACCAGTCAGATGCACCTGGGGATATCTTCATTTGCCACACCATGTGTTTAACGCCGCATCTAGCCCGGTGAAGCAGGTGGGGCCAATGTCGCCTCATTTTAGAGGTGCGGGGCCAGACATCGATGGCAGGGAGATGTGCTAGGGGTCAGGTCCACTGAGTCTGCCAGCGTTCTGGCATAAACTTCCGGGCGACCCCTCTCCGGGCACTCCCGGCTCCCACGGGAGCTCCGGCCGCGCCGCGGAGCCAAGCGCGGACTACGGAGGGCGGCGTCTCCGCACAGGGCCTCGGGGCTCCACTAAGGGGTTCGCAGCGTCCCAGGAGTGCCCCCCATACTGAGCCAACCGACCCTCCTCAGCTCGCGTCCCGGAGCCTCACTCTAGCCCACCGACCCACTCACAATTCCTTAATCAGCACCATCTTCCGGGAACCCCCTCACAGTTGCCTCCGCCGCCGCCGCCACCGGGCCTCTCAGCACGCATGCGCAGCCCGGCCTCCCAATGGGCCGAGCTCTGGTTGCGCATGCGCGTCCGCACCCTTCCGCCGCAGGCCATTGCGTCAGAGCGCCGGGGGGCTAACTCCGCCTAGTCCACGCCCCACCCTCGGCGCACGAGGCCTCCACTGCGGCTGCGCGGCCCGTTGGCGCGCACGTGAGGTGTGGGCCGCGCTTGCGTAGACTCGGCGAGCGCTGGGACTGCGTGGTGTCTGACGTCCGTCCCCCAGGTCTCTGCACGGGCGTTTTCGAGTGAGTTCTCCAGTCGGGGTCCCAGACGGCGTTGTGTTGTGACTGGCTTTGCATCTCCTCGCTGCTTCCAGAGGAAGATCTCTTCTGACAGACATCTCGCTTCCATTGTGCACTTTAGAGACTTCACACAGGCGTGGAAGCCGATGACACCAGGTTTTGGAGCCTCAAATTTAGCAGGACGGTGTTCTAGAAACCCAGACCAGTGTTTTAACCCAGATGTGCTGGTCTCTTGTGCCAACTTTAAAAAGTGTGTGGCTGTTTTGCCTGCTTCATGTCTGCTTCATGTGCGTATCTGATGCCTATTGAGGGCGCTGGATTCGCGTAGAACAAGAGTTGCAGACAGTTGTCAAATACCATGCGGGTGCTGGAACCAAACCTGGGTCTGCTAGAGCAACCATTGTTTTTAATAGCTTAACCCCTAGCCAAACATTTAATCCTCAACAAATGCAACTTTTACACAATAGAGACCCAGTTGGATTAGGCGAATTCTACCAACCCCCCTCCGGTATTACCAATATGTACTTTCCAGGAGGAGAGTTAATTACAGTAAGGATGAAAGGTAGATTTTACTGAGACTTATCCAAAAATTCCTGAACACAGTGTGCTCAGCATGGGCTTTGTGCACTAGTAACACAGATGTAACACAACTCTGATCAGTTTTGAACAGTTGCTTGAATACTGCGCTTGGACATAACCTGTCAAACCTCTGCCTATCTCCACTCGCTGAGATTCATAACTTGGGATCCAGGGGCCTTTTGGTGGGACTCCCAGGGAACTGATGAACTTTAGACATTGTAGGCATTTCATGTTAATGCACATGTTAGTCACCTTGCTTACTTTGTCAAACCATACTTTTTTCCTTCCTGGATGATCTTGATAATATTTTTATGAAAACTGGAAATAGCCCCAAGCAGTAGGGTCAGTCATACCAATTTGAGAAACTGGATTGGACTTTGGAATAGAAGACCTGGAACTGAATCCTGGCTCTTTGACTTAAAGAGCCCTTAGGTAAAGAACCTTGCAAAGACTCAATTTACACAACCCAAAATAGGTGATTACCATCTGCAGCAGATTTGCTTTAGGGAATGAGAATAAGATATGGAATAGCTAAGGAGGTAACTCTGTCTATAGAGCACTTGCCTAGCGTGCCAGAAGTGGTAAGTGTCTTCAACACTACAACAAAAACAAAATTACATACCATATGGCAACTGATGTCTTTTAAATGTGAACCCTATAAAATCTTCCAGGGATCGGCAACAGTAAATTAAAATATAAAGCCAGGAAGGGGCTAGAGAGATGTTAAGTTGTTTCTTGCTCATCCAGAAGACCAGCACCCACATCAGGTAGCTCACAACCACCTGTAACTCCAGCTCTGGGCATCTGAAACCTCGGACTTGTGCAATACAAGCATACACATATTTTTTTTAATTATTAATGTTTTTGTCTATTCTTTGGGAATTTCATACAACTCTTTATAATAACATCATTTCTCCCCACCCTCATTTATCCCTCCCATGTCTGACCACACCTTTGTTTTTAAAAACCAGAGCTTCCCATTCTTTTTTAAAAAATAATTTATTTACTTTTATTTCATTTGCATTAGTATTTTGCCTCCATGTATGTCAGTGTGAGAGTGTCAGAAATTGGTATAGAGTCAGTTGTTAGCTGCCATGTGGGTGCTGAGAATTGAACCCAAGTCCTCTGGAAGAGCACTCAGTGCTATTACTTGCTGAGCCATCTCTCCAGCTCCCTGGCTTTTCATTCTTTAGCCATTATTATCACACATACATATAAATGAATGGATGTATAAATGAATACAACCTGTTAGTTAATTCAATGTTGCCTGCATGTTTAAGTTGCTAGGGCTGACCACTCAGTATTTGGATAATCAGTCAGGGCTCATCCCTAGGGATGACTAATTCTCCCTTGCTTCTGTCTGGAGTGCAGTTGTTAATTGTTCATAGATCTTCATCTAGGGGTGGGGGTGAGAGTTTCTGCATAAGTGTGGGATGTCAGATGTCCTTGGAATTATTCAGGTCTTGTTTAGGAAGCCTTGTTGAGATTTAGGAGAAGGCACCATCTCATGGCTGAGCATTTAAGTGCAAGAACTGTGTTGTTGGCATATCAGATGTGGCTGGGCACCCATGGCCAGTGTTCTCTGCAATGGTCTCCTGATGCTGCAAGAGGGTTTTTGAAAAGGAGTGAGGTATACACTTCTCTGTGGGTATAAGGATAAGTATTTATAACGTAGTTAGGGATTATGCTAATTTAGTAAAATGGCAATTGTAAATTCTCCTCTGATATCCATGGCTTCACTAGCCGCAGGTAGTTGGCTATGTTTCCTGTGCCAGGCATAATTTCCCTCCTGTTAATCAGGCCTTTTATCCAATTAGACAGCTCTTGGTCACTGTGTTAGTTGGGATTTTCTAGAGGAACAGAAATGGTAGAATAGAATATATGTGTGGATGCGTGTGTGTGTGTGTGTGTGTTATGTGTACATATATATTGGTTTGATTAGAGTGGCTTACCAGCTGTGGTCTGGCTAGTCCAACGATGGCTGTCTCCTAGTGGAAAGTTCCCAGTAATTGTTCAGACTATGAGACTGAATGTCTCAGCTGGCCTGTAGTCTGTGTTGGAATCTAATGACATTGAAGGGAAAGCCAGAGCAGACAGGCAAAAAAAAAAAAAAAAAAAAAAAAAAAGTTAGCTAAATGATCTAGTTAACTAAAATCCCTCACAGGTGTGCCCAGAGACTTGGGTTTTTAGTTAATTCCAGGTGTAATAATGTTGACAACCAAGAATAGCCATCACAAGTTCTCCCCTTGTCAACTTGACACGCAATCACATCTCCTTATGCCATGCCTAATTTCCAAATGAAAATGGCCAGGTCATAATTATGCCTAATACAGTATAACTATCCACATACCTCCACAAATGCATTATATATTTTAGAACAGGTGGTGGTTGTAAGCATTGTGATTCAGATGGAATGGGATCATGGCAGTTGGGAGCCAAGGACTACTACTAAGTGCTACAGCTTGGATGGAAAACTATCCTGGAAGTCGGGGGCCAGGGAATACTGAGTGTTGCAGCTCAGGTGGAAGAGTTTTCTGGCAATTGGGAGCCAGGGAATAGCACACGTCACAGTAAGCATAGTAGCTTACAGGCCTGCTCTAAGGAAAGGCTTCTCCAATGTAACAGCTCTGCTCCCGCAGGAGAGGGCTCCCCCAGCAAAGGTGTTATAGTTAGGCCCCCAAAACAACTCTGCTCTGTTAGGGGAAGGCTTCCCCAGAGAAAGTGTTACAGTCCCGCTCCACTCTGCTCCAGTGAAAGAAAGTCTTCACCCAAACCTCATTCAAGAGATTTATTGGAAGGGAAGAATCCAGGAGAGTGGCTGCCTCTGCCAGGGTGGAAGAAGAGCGGCAGCAAACTGAACTACATAAGCAGGGCTTATGTAGGGCTTCTCAGGGGAGGAGTTTTCCAGGGAGAAGATTTTTCAGGGTGGGAATTGGTCAGATTTCAGTCCCTTGACCTCAGATTGGCTAGATCTCTACTCAGGGATTGGTTGGTCTTCTGATTAGTTGATCAGGGGTGGATTTGGCTCTGGTTTCAGGGCCAAACTATTTCTTTCACTGTTTTTTTTTTTTTTTTTAAGCTTTTTGGCTCTAGTTTTGGGGCCAGGCTCTGATTCTTCCACTGGCTCTGATTCTAGGGCCAAAGTGTGGTTTCTTTGGTACTGGTTTCAGGGTCAGGGTATATTTTTTGGTACTGGGTTCAGGGCTAAAGTATTTCTTTCACTGGCTCAGGTCTCAGAGAGCAGGGTGTTTTTTTCACTGACTCTGGTTTCTGAGTCAAAGTGGGTTCCTTTGGCTGGCCCTTTCTCCCTACAGCAGTGTCCTTTGAGGGACATTTTTTAGTATCTCAAAACTTAATATGATATATAATAACCACTGGTATTATCTTAATTGATGTTACGTTACATGATAAGGGAATTAAGGAAAGAGAACACACAAATATCTACACAAACACATTCTTAACAAAATATGACAGTAACACTAATGTCAATTTGAATCCTTGTTTCTGCAACTGGTCATGTGGCCTTAGATGATATTTATAACTACCTGCCTCTACTACCCATTCTGTATTTCCTCTGTCCTCGGCAAACACCTCAGCAGATCTTGGTTCTTTTCCTGGAGGAGTGGTCCACACCGTCATTCCTGAAGAGTCTATGCCTTTTGTCATCCTGCCTAGATTGAGCTGTTGTTGTTTCCATTGACTTTAATCACAGGACATGGTAACACCAAGGTATGTTATAAGACACTGCTTATCATTTCCTGGCTGCTCAGACTCCCAAAATAGCCACACAGAAACTGTATTAATTAAATCACCACTTGGCCCATTATCTCTAGCTTCTTATTGGCTAACTCTTACATATTAATTTAACCAATCTCCATTAATCTGTGTATTGCCACATGGCAGTGGCTTTCTAGCAAAGTTTTGGCATGTCTGTCTCCCTTACTCTGCCTCCTTTCTCCCAGCGTTTAGTTTAGTTTTCCCCACCTACCTAAGTTCTGCCCTATCAACAGGGCAAGGCAATTTCTTTATTTACCAATGGTATTTACAGCATACAGAGGGGAATTCCACATCATCTCCCTTTTCTGTTTAAATGAAAATGAGGGTTTTAAATTTAACATAGTAAAATTACATATAACAAAATAGGTATCAAGCAATAATTATGGTTACAATATTTATATCTACCTTTTATTGTAACTAAGGAAAACTATCAATTCTT